GCAGTGCCACTTTTGATGGGAGATGAGCATAGACTGTAGGCAAATAAGAAAAAGGGAACGGTTCTATGAGAGAACATGTCGCCGGTGAGACGCAAGTCCAGGAAGAACGGAATAAGGTAGAAACACATTTTTTTCCTGATGAAAGAAGAGAGTCTACTCTTTCTTTTGGTGTGTTCGGTGTTTACATAGTCATAGCACAAACTATTCTGTGGCTCTAGAAAAATCAGTCAAAATGCTCCAAAAACTCTGGCAGTATGGGACTCTGTTCTGAAAATGGCTGCCAGTCAATGAGTTAAGTGCTGTCTTGTTGGCAAAAGGGGGTTGTACAGAGTATTAAGGAGCATTTTTAGAAGTCCTCGAGCACATCTTAAACAGGGGTGCCAATAACTGTGGAGGGCACCGTTTCTCCATTGATCTTTTCTGACCTGGGCGAATATCTTGTTGAGCCTCATCTGCTCGGCCAGGACGCTGACGTTGTGGAAAAGGTGAGGCTGCATGTGGCTCCACATGTGAGGGAACCACCAGAAGTCCATCCTGTGCTGCAGCAGCATGTCGTCCCCCTGGTCCTCCTCATCAGTACCTGGAGAAAACACCAAAACACCAAACACAGGTTCAGGGACATAACCCACAGCAAACGCTACGTCTTAATGCTTTCTGACACTTGCAAAGATGAGATACCTGTGTGGTAGAACTTTCCAGAAAATCCCAGGTTGAAGGTGAAATCAGGTACCAGAGCTCTCATCTTATTTTGCGTATTGAGCAATGCCTGCGGGTGGAAACATAGTTTTATGTCCAATCAATGCGTTTCTAAACCTCAAATGAACCTTCCTTTACACCAGTACAGTTGAGAGCAACATTGTTAAACTCGTACCCTTTTACTTTAAAAACAAAAACGGGAAACTGCTTTCCAACAAAAACATTCAAATGGGTATGTTGATTGTGAGGAATCCGGCTTATTTAAAGGATTATATACTGTGTGATATAGCGTATAATATAGTATTACATAAAGATTTCTTCAAATTAAACTTGGTAAACTGACTAAGATTAAATATATACGCATACGCTGGTTTGGAGAAAGACACTTAAGACGCAATGAGCAAAAAAACAAACAAAAAACTAAACAGTTAATTGGATTACCTGGCGACAAATTTATCATCTTAATCAAGAGTATCTGTCACTTGCGTCAATTTGTTCCATTTCTTGTAATTAATAATAATGATGGAGCCATTGATGTCTGCATTAGAGAATACAAACTCAACATTTTATTCTCAATATTAATATTTTAACTATGGACCTGGTAGGTGAAATGGGGAACACAAATCAAGCTACACTTAAATCTACAAAAATAAAAAAACAACAAAAGCTTAAGAAAACCTGTTACATTTTCTTCATTGCTTACTGGTAAAGAATCTAAAAACCAATTGAATGTCAAGTTTTTGTTTCCTGGATCACCCACCTCCACATCAGAGACCTTCATCCGGGTTCCTTCCTTTCCAACAAATATGTCGTCCACGTCCACCAGGATGTGGCGGTCCAGGGACAGACAAAGTCTTTTCCCCGTCAGGTAAGCAATGGCGTCCACAAACACCAACTTATGGAGCCAAAAGTTGA